GTGAAAAATAAATTTGATTTGCAATATCAATTTAACATTATCAAGTACTGCGTTAAATGTGTAGTGACATCGCGGATGTCATTGTGTGGTGCTGGCCCAAGAGAGGCACGGCGTGCGATGCACTTACATCGCGGACATCACGTATGTAGCGACATCGTGGATGTCACTGGGTAATGCCGGCTCTAGCGAGGCACGGCGTGCGATGTATTGCCATCGCAGACACCCCGTATATGTGGGTGTAGTACCAGCCCCAGAGAGGGCTCGGTGAGCGCTGGGTCATAGCGCTCAGTGGCACCACGCGTAGCGTGCAGTGTTGAAACCGACAGGAGGGAGTGTGAGAGTGTCAGCTATGGGATGAGGTTACCCCAGGCCATGGCACTCTGCTTGACCCTGGAAGGCACGTGACAAGTAAGATCTACACAGGGGCCCCAAGTGGGGGCTGGGGGTGGTCACGTGCCGGGGCGAGATCCTGCAAGTGGGTTCGAGATGGTGGTCGTGGCCAAAGGCGGAGCCAGCCACAGCCAGCGAGCATATCAACCGGGTCCCCGAGAGGGACCGGGGTTCTGCGTTTCTGTTGTCATCTGAAGATCTACGTTCTACGTCCAAGAAGAAGTCACCAACACGTGGACCTGGACCCAAGCTGGGGTCTGGTCTGTTGTAAATGTGTTGCCTCCAAAGAGTACATCTGCGACTCAGTTGAATCCACTACAAATGTACAGAACAAGAAACTTTACATTGCGGGAAATGTGAATAATTTCGAGATCAATGTAACAGTCTGTAACAAAATAGAAGTTGGGGGAATATTGTAACTCAAACATAGGCACGTGTACATGTAAAGCTCTGTTGGCAATCCACTGCTGGACGAGGGCCTCCCCACACCACATGGGTCATGGGAGTTATTGACCATATTTGATCGTGCTGATCAGTGTGGGTTTGTGAAGGTTGGGAGCATAGACTTGAGAAGATAACAGTAGAGTAGAACAATGAATTATGCTGCAATGCTCCATGTTGCCTACGTACGGTGCGAAAGAAGTTCAACATACATACAATATAGCTCTGCAGCCCTATGACAACCTGCTTGTGCATGATGGTCACCAAGCACTATCCAGGCTCAAACCTGCTTACCTTCTGTCACCTGATGAGATGGGATGCATTCTGGGTGATGTGGTCATTGGCAAAGATAATATGGCCAAGCTAATAATCAAAGTATCTACCTGCTTAAACAGAACGCATCTCCCCACTGGCAGTTGGCAGCCAGCTGAGGAAAACTACTGCTGATTTACAATTTTAAACTGGTACTTATTTTACTGGTAGGAACCGCCAGGTTACACTAGCCCACAGGGGATTATTGTGTCCGTTGTGCATCTAAAAATGGGAGGGGTGGGGCTGGGTGGAGAGGAGAGGGTGGGGAGGGGCTGGGTGGGGAGGGAGGGGCTGGGTGGGGAGGAGAGGGTGGGGTTGGGTGGGGAGGGGAGGGTGGGGAGGGGCTGGGTGGGGAGGGTGGGGCTGGGTGAGGAGGGGAGGGTGGGGCTGGATGGGGATGGGAGGGGCTGGGTGGGGAGGGTGGGGAGGGGCTGGGTGGGGAGGGTGGGGCTGGGTGGGGGGTGAGAGGGGTGGGGCTGGATGGGGAAGGGCTGGTCACCCCGTGGTGACCTTATAAAACTCAACGTTTAACCTACTCACGCCGGCTTGTGCCCGCCCTCACATTCGAGAATATTTGCGGAATACACCACGCCGCCGTTGACCCTGGCCATTGACCGAGCAACCCAACGTTCCTACCAGCTCCCTCCGCAGGAATGTGTTATCTCGCTTGAAATTGGGGGTTGGGCCAAGTAAATCTCTGACTGGGATTTGAACTGAACACCTTTTTGATTTCAAGTCAAGCACGGCAATGTCTATTAACTTGTCAGGTTTAACGATTACATTTTTGTAACAAAACTCAAAGGAAAAAAAAAACAGATGTGCAAAATAGAGACATTTATTAGTTATCATCACCTTTTCTACTTAAACAAGAACAAAAATTCACCCAAGCAATGTAGCAGAATGACTCACTTGCCCTGTAAGCTGGAAACCACACAGATAATTGCAGCTTTATATAGGAATGCAGCTGAGAGTTATGCGCTAAATCAGCAAATATCCCAGAGCTCTGAATTAACACCTGGGAGATGGCTGATGAGGCTGTGATTGCATTTCATTTTCGAGAAACACTTGTATCTGTTTGGGTTTTTGCTACACAATGGGAAAACCTGCCAAAATCACAGTGAGGCGTGTATTAAAATGTCATACCTACCGCACAAAGGCAAAACAGACACGTGCACTTGTTGGAATGCAATCTCTATAGACCAACTAGCTTCATGTGGCATTTTCTAATTTGCACTCTGCGCCATTGACAATTCAAAGGCGGTGACTCATAGCTGGTCCGTGATTCTAATAAAGTCAAGAAAAGAAGGAGCCCCTCATCGCTGCAGAGCAAAAGCACTGGTTACAATGACTGAAAGCTTCTGAGCTCAAAGAACACCTGCTAAATATCACCAGAATGTACATCATGGTTGCACATTGGAAATGTGAGAGTTGGGCCCCAAAAATCATTAAGATTCACACTCTAGATTCACCATCTCTCCAACAAAACTCGGCTTTACTGGAACAAGGTAGATAAAGAAGATTAACATGGCAATATGTATGGCTGAAAAGGACTTTGCTAGAATCTAAAAAATTCGTCAACAAATTATACATATTTATACTATTTATTCCACCAAGACCTAAAGTCAACCAAACCATTGTTCTACCATTCGACGATTATTATTTATGTATACGGTGTTTATTCCAATGAAACCATACTTGTGAGTTTTCAGTAATTTCTGTAGGATTAGAAGCTAATTAAAATGCAATGCTAACCTATATGTGAACTATAAATTAAATTAATGTGCAGTTCACAAATCAATGCATAACCCCCAAAACACATTTGCAAAGTATATGGTTTGAATCAGCGTTGTGATTTTAAACAAATGGTTTACATTTCAACCAATGGGAAACATATTTTTTAAGCATATAAAATAAATCACCAAAGCCACTGTAACAACCATGTCATGTGGATTTGAGACAAAGTAAAAAAATAAAAACAGGGCTGTCCAAACGATAGCCCGTCGGGTCAAGTTCGGCCTGCCAATTCATTTTTTATTGGGCCCACTGCCGTCATACAAGCTTAGCATTGAGAGTTGCCCAAGGTGGCTCTGACCTACATTTTTAAGTTAATTATTTCCCAATAATTATATAATATTTGCGGGGAGAGGGGTGGAGGTCTGTGGGGGGCTGTCTGGGAACAGAGTACCACGCGTTATCGATGAGTCTATCTCTTCTGTCTCTCAGATCTCTTCTGATGACATCCCTCTCCTGCCTATCTCTTGTATTTGGCTTCTGAATACATCTTTCTGATATTTAATTTCTGAAGATATATTCTCTTTTTCAAAAGCTCTTCCGAATACATCTCACTCCTACAGTTCTTGCTCTATATAAGCTACGTCCGTGGTTCGACTGTCTCTGCATGTTTATCAATCAATGCCTCAATATAGAATGTTTGGATACACTCGGCACAAGGCAAGTATCACATTGGGTACAAAAATATTTCTCAACATCGGTTGTCAGCTTCAAGGCATTCAAATGTCATACTTAATCAACACTACAGCAACGGTAAGATTGCAGTTTGGGATGATTGAATTGGCTTACAATGAGAGCGCTATTCATAATTTTATTCGATAATGTAACCTAGCATTATGCACAACTTGATAATGAGGGAAATCTCAAGTATTCAGCACACTAGCCTGCACGCATTACTCCTGATACAAGGCATTTACAATTAAACTAACAAAAGCAATACATTGTAAAAGTAAACGTGTGAAAACTGTACAAAAGTTACAAGTAGAATTGGTCAAAATTGAACTGGTTTGCAAAGCTGAACCTTACTGATGCCAAAGGTTTAAAACGACACGGAATAATGTTTAATAAAAACACAGCCTCTGTGCAGATATTTTGATGGGGTTTTCCTCATCATTTCCAGGTTTGATTTGCTTCGCGATGCCACGTGCTACAAAGGAAAGACTGAAAGGCTTGTAGTAATTTACACAGCTGAAAGTGGACATTAACATAACCAAAACCTTATTGGTTCTTTCGGTAAAGTCACGTAGAAGGCAAATAATAGAATAATAGAAGTACAGGTCTGTCGGAAATACAGCGTCATTCAGACGCTGTCTTTCCGACAGACCTGTTCTTCACCTGAGGACGGCTGCTTGCGTTGTGGCCGAAACGTCGTGAGAATTATTTTATTATGTTGAATGTTTATTATTTTATTATTTCCCTTCTACATGACTTTACCAAAAGAACCAAGAAGATGAATCCCTGCAGTCACGAAAGCTTTAAACCGAAATATAACCAAAACCAATAGTTTTTCGTCATTGACACACGTGACAGAACGTTGTTGTAAAGAAACGTAATGACACCAACAATGAAAAGTGAACGAACGACCAAGACTAAAAATGATACAAGTACTTTAATTGATACTGCATTCGTCTGAGATTGATCAATTAAGCGTAACCTACTTTGCATATCACAAAATGATCCCTGTAAAATTCCGTTAAAAAAATCCCGAATGCGTCAGAAACAAATACAAATTTACATTAGGATTGCAGGCTTGCATATTTTGCTTGAGAAAACAAATCTCGTACACACTGCAGCAATGTGACTCATGCTTAACGTTAGTAATTTATTATCAAATCCCAGGTTTTTAATTAAACTGATGGCCGGGTCTACATTTGCATGTCTCTGTTGGGCACATCATGTGCTAAACAATGGCATCAGGGTCACCTCACTGAGGAAAACTTAATTCAAGTGAAATTATTTACATATAAGGCGCACTGATTTATACACATGCATGACACCACTGCATAGACATTTATACATGTACGTACAACATGCTTACAGGATATTGTAAACAAATTTTAACTTACTTTTTCATAGGCTCTATTACGGTCTTCTGTAGTTGATTTACCTGAAAATAAAACACAAAAAGTTACTTCTTCCAATAAACTCAAAAGTTAATAAGGTTACTTACATGCCACACATTACCCAACCATCAGAGATTAAGGTCAGAATGCAAGATTTTAAAGAGGTAGCATTCTATTACAAAATGAATGGCATCTGCAGGTCAATTGCCATAAATTAACATTCCTATTTCGTTAATGTTTGAATCCTCAAAACCGTATGTTGTCATATAGAAAATATTCAAGATTGCGTCAAATGATTAACTTCTGATAAATATTTTCTTTCTTGAGCAGAGCTTTCCCAGTGTGTACTGTGAAGTTCAAAGCAATGTAGACTGCAAGGAATTTCCTGAGGTTACAAAAACCGGATTCTCTGATTTACAATAATAAATCATGGACCCAACGCCACTGGGACAAAAACATCGTGACGGTCAATATTCCGTCCTCATTACAGAATCCTGACGCATAAATCAAACCTTATTTAATTTAAAATATGTCGACTTACACTTTTCACCTACAAGCGAAAAAAAACCCCAAACCCAATTGCTCACCGAATATTTTTTTTCCTGCTCCAAAAAGTCAAAGCGTTGAGCAGCCCCCGCTGAGTTCCGGGATTCAAATCCAGACGGCTGCCCATGATGAAATCAGGGTGAAAGTAATTCTGGCTAAGTACTTACAACACATTTGTCGCTGTTACCCCGCACCTCCGATTAGCACGGTTTTCTACGTACAGTAGAACCTCTGGTCACGACCATAATTCGTTCCATAACTTTGGTCGCAACCCGATTTGGTCGTGACTCGAACCTAATTTCCCCATTGGATTGTATGTAAATACGATTAATCCGTTCCAGACTCCTACGAACTGTATATAAATATAGTTTTTTATAGATTTTTAAGCACACAAATAGTTCATTATGCCATAGAATTCACAGTGTAATAGTAAACTAAATGTAAAAACATTGAACAACACTGAGAAAACCTTGAACAACAGAGAAAACTAACATTGCCGCGTCAAGGTTTAGAATCGTTCAACAAGATGATTGTTTCGTCTGCTACATCAGTCGGTCGATTCTGAGAGAGAGAGAGAGACTATTTGTATGAGCAATTCATGTTTCTATTGAAAGTAAGTTAACATTTATATTTGAGTACAGTATTGTTTTTGGAAGCATTCACCGTAACATCGTATGAACGTTTACTTCACCGCATCATCGTATGAATGATGCGAGAAGAGATTAACGGGTTCTTATGTTAGCGATTTACGTACTCAGCGCTTTCGCTCTCTAAATTACGGCTTGAATGAGGGGGAGGGGTATGACTACACTCACAAAATGAATATCTTACTAGAAATTTTATATAACAAAAGTTATATGCATAACTGTTACGCTTTATATTGTTTATAATAAAACAACAGGAAATTTGGCGCTTACAAAAAAAAATGGCGCGGAAGGGGAAATCGGCCGCGGCCGTGTTTGATCGCCACCCGAGTTTGTGTTCGTGACCAGATTAAAAAATTTTGTGAATTTTTTGGTCGGAACTCGATTTGGTCGTGGTCAGAAGCGTTCGTGACCAATGGTTCTACTGTACGGTGCAAAAGAAGTTCAACGTGCATACAAACATCCGTACTAAGCACGGTTTGCATCGGTTCTCACGACAGGTGGGGGAGGGGGCAAGCTGGCCCTGCTGCGAAAGTACAACAATTAATTAACCAATTAAGTTATTGATAAAATATTTAATTGAGTGAGTTCTGAGTCCCTGGGTAGTAATGGTGTTTTAATGGTGTTGGTTCCGAGCGTGTCGGTGAGCAACCAGGAATAACCAGCTTCTTGAGTGTAGCGGGTTGATGGTGGGGTATCAATTCAGTCACCGACGACTGCCCACAAAAAAAATATATATTTTTTTTAATATATGACTGAAATTCTTCACTAAATGGTGGTGATGTCACCACGGTGCTTGTGCCAGGCTACGTGCACTTTAAGGCCACGTGAAGTGCCATGGGTTGACCGACTTAGATGACTGGCCGATGCACCACCTGTGCCCCCTATTGTGTCAACTTGAAGTGTTTTATCCACCTGCCACTTTGCTCGTTGTTGTGAGCTTCACTCCTCCGCCCTCCGTTTTTGCTGGAGGGTGACTGCCTCCAACTGCCCAGGAACGTCTTTCACGAGACTCCTCCAGAGGCTGATCTTGACACCGCTGATACCAGTCATCAGGAAGTCCACTCAGCTCCACATCCTCTTATACCACATCATTCCATATTTTCTCTAGCCCACGCCACGCCCGTTTAGCACCCTCTATCTGGCCAAACAAAAGCTGTTTAGACATGCGATGGCTGGGCATATGGGCTGCATCACCCAGCCAACGCAGCCTTGTCTGACAGAGGAACTCACCGATGGGACTTTGTCCAGATCTTTCGAGGATTTGTGAGCTCATCACACAATCCAGCATAGAGAAGGGAGGACATGACCATGGTCGAGAAGATCCAAAGCTCCGTGTCGCGCGACAGACCAGGAAGCTTTCAAACAGCATTACACAGCCAATGAAAATATAATTCTGTTCAACTGATTTGGCGTGAGACCTCTACTGTCAAACCGGAGGTGGCCATAAGCACACTGCCCAGGTATGGAAAAATCTCCACACTCTTGCCCCATCATCACCAATGGGGGGTGGAGTGTTTGATAGCACAACATACCCAGGCAGGTGCTTAGTTTTAGTGGGGCTGATGGTAAGGCCCCACCTTACCACCACCCACCGCCAATCGCGGTCACTGCCCATCACTTACATTAACATTAGCTGCCCCAACCATGCTGCTGACATTTGGGCTACGCCCATTTTAAACCTTGATAAATGGGTTCTCCCTTATCTCCAGTTGTAGGCAATGTTTTCATGGAAACATTTGAGACAGATGCCATCCAGGCATCCACTCAACGTCTGTCCTTGTGGAAGAGGTACGTGGATGACACATTCGTCATCTGGCCACATGGCTGACCAGCTCTGAACCAATTCCTCAACCACATCAATTCCATACACTCAGCCATCAAATTCACCATGGAGGTGGAAAAGGATGGCAAGTTACCATTCTTGGATGTTTTAATCGAAAAGTGACCAGATGGCCCAATGGGACACTGTCTACAGGAAAGCCACCCACACGGATTCCTACCTAAAACCTGACTCCCACCACCATCCATCCCAGAATAATTTCCTCATCAAAACTCTACACCATAGAGCTCGATGTATTTCCGACCATCATCACCTAGCCAGTGAACTGGAACACGTACACCAAGCTCTCAAGATGAATGGATATTGAGACGAAACAATCCGTAAAGCCATCACCCCAACCGTTGGGAAAGAACCATCTGAGGACCCAATCAAAACCATCACCTTGCATACATAGCAGGGGTCACAAAAAATATTTCCAAAATTATGAGCAAACACAAGATCCAGGTCTGATTTAACATAGTACCGTACGTAAAATTCGTGATCTGATCTGTGAAGGATGTGATCCCTGACGGCTGCTTGCGTTGTGGCCGAAACGTCGTGAGAATTGTTTTATTATGTTTTATTTTTATTATTTTATTACTTCCCTTCTACGTGACTTTACCGAAAGAACCAAGAAAATGCAATACCCCGGCATCTACAAACTAAGCCGTCTCTGCGGCAGTAGTTACATTGGGGAAACTAAGCGACATGTCTCGGACCGTGTTCGTGAACACAAGGCAGATCTGAAACACGGTAGGACCAATGCCTCGGCCGTGGCTGATCATTGTTTTAATGCAGTCTAAGACCCCACCTCTTAGTAGCATGCTCCAAGGTCTAGCAGCACCTCCAACTCCTCCTCTGAGTGAGCAGCAATCACCAGATCATCAGCAAACATAACATGGATGACCAATAGGGAACAATTCCTCGACCAGACCCGGGCTTCGATCAGCCTCCCATTGTATCTGTACCAGATGGAGATTCCTCCAGTACAGCTGTGAAAGGCTTCTCGAACTACATGGTCGAAAAAATACGTGAAATAATGTGGGAGCCAGAGGACATTTCTGTCGCACCCCATGGTGAACAAGCAATAGCTCCGACTCCCAGCCACATAGCTTTACCCGTGCCTGCCCACCATCATGAAGGTCCTTAATGATTATGAGCAGAGTCAGGGACTCCGAAAGCATGAAGAACCCAGAGCTCAGGCCTATTGATGGTGCCATAGGCATTCACTGGCTCAATAAAGCTGAGATGTAGGTCATGTTGGAATTCCCTACACCTCTACTGGAGCAAACAGATATAAAATACAGCATCTGTGCAGGATTGTCCTGGCCTGAAACCAAATGGGGGCTCTGCAAGCCTCTCCTCAGCGTGCCTGGCAAAGCGATGTTGAATAATCGGTGCCAGAACCTTTCCCGGCACATTGAGGAGGAAGATGCCCCTGTAGTTGTTACAGTCTGTGCAGTCCCCCACCAGGGCATCATTCCAATCCTGCGGAACCCGTCCAGTAGTCCAGCTATTTATTATGATGTCATACAGAGCAGTCTGCACACAAACGCCACCATCCCTCAACATTTTGCATGGGAGATCATCTCTGCCCAGCACTTTTCCTGGTCTCAGACTCTGGATCGCCTTCTGTACTTGAGGCACTTCAGCCAGCCACACACAGGGGGTGACTACTTCTTCCAATATTTGAGGCAGAGCATCCTCACTTTGCCCCATGACGTTTTCCAGGCTGAGGGATTTCCCCTCTCTGAAGACCTCACAGATATGCTCAGAAAATCTGCAAACCTGTTCCTGGGGGTCGGAGATCGGATAACCTTTCTTTGCACTAAGAAAACTCAACAGCCACGAGAATGCCCATGTATATAAAATGAGAACACTCAAACTATGCACAGATGGGTCTGAAATCTACTTCACGTACTGCCCTCCAAAAGGCACTCAGTTTGACCTCAGGTGGGTGCCATGTCTTTTTAAATCCTTTATATTAAGTTTGCTTGCTTGCGTGCTTGCTTGCTTGCTTACGACCGTGCAA